CGCAATAATATATCTCTACCTACGCGCACGGTCTCGGCTTCTGGAACCGATTCGCCCGCGGGGCCTCCGCTCAATAAACTCGAAAATTGTTTGCTTCGCACACACGGCCTTTACTTTACACCTTTTAAACGGTGTCACAACATTATCGACACCCACGCACGTGTCTAACTCGCGGACACTTTGACGTTTCGCGTAGAAAAAAAAACACGCTCTTCTTCAACCTTGGATATATCGATGACCGTTCGAAAAGCTGATGTCATTTCATTTTCGATTCTCCATCTTCTTAATCGAATCTTTTAATCCCTATTCTATATATTTAAAATAACAATTTCTCCAAGTTTCCTCCAAATTAAAAGTTATCTCTTTCAACTTTGATCCACCATTTTCAATCTATTATTTCATGAAATTGGAATTTCCGCTAGGTTGATTCGATATGAGATTCTATCGCTTCTATAAAGTGAACCCGTTTACAATTACTGTAATGTACTTGCGACGTTGTTCACGCGATTATTTGGACCCGCATGTTTAATTTTCAGCAGACAACATTGAACGTATTAGATGAGCGTATTACGTGAAGGAACTTAAACAAATTTTGTTTCGTAAAACATTTCCCAAACGTTCGCTTTTCCCCTGTACAAATTTCAACATCCGTACGACACAATAATTGACATACAGGCCGACCTAGAAAAAGTGGAAACGAACGATCCGTACGAAGGGAGTGGGCCCATGCAATAAAACATTGTTTTGCCGTGTGTACGAGTCAATGGCATGCGCGCATACGTTCCACGTAATATACGACCTGGTACACGTACCGGTTACCGGTGTGCAATGCACGATGATGACGATAGTTATGAGGCTTTCCTAATCTTCCCCCGAGAATTACGAAGCTCCGCTGATTCACCGGGAAAGATAGCAGATCCCGGCTTTTAACCTTTCGACCAAAGATAATCGAAGCGTGTCGGGTGTTTTCCACCGATCGATCGATCGATCGATCCTGTTCCATTGATATTTTTCTCGCGCACGCGTGTCCAAGCATACCATTGAAACTCGAATTTAAGAATTCTCTCAACCGAGTTTCTCGGGTATATATACAGGAATCGATCTACCCGAACCAATTGGTATCATTAAGCTTGCACAAGATCGGCATCGAGAGGAAGAGAGAGAGAGAGAGAGAGAGAAAAAAGCGGAGAATGAAAGAAAGGATAGGCAAACGTTTATCACGTGAGCGTGAGCGTGTCTCGAGGAAGAAAAAAGAAAAAAGAAAAAAAAAACGGTTCGCATAATTGCGTGGCAGGTGCAGTGACTTAATTGCCAGGCTTTGTACAAAGCGGCTATAGCGCCACGAGGAACGTGATGCAATGCGTGGAATTCTGTTCTGATAAACAGGCTTGCAGATAGGTACGCTCATTTTTGCATATTTGCAAAAATGATGAAACAAGAAGCGCGAATCTGACCGAGTTGCAACGATTAGGACGAAGAAGAAGAATCCCTCCTCCTTCTTGGGACGAGGAAAGGGTCGAGATTCGTACGAATCTCGGGTGAGTAACTAATGAAACCGACGCTAAGCTAGAATTACAAGCGAAAATTCTCCAAAGACACACCTCGGAATCGTTCGTGTCGCGACCTTTCCCGTCTCGAGTATCATTACGTAAAGTTTGCTCGCGCGAAAAATGGCGGAATTGCCAGGGGCTCGCTAATTTAATTGCCAGCTCTGAGTACTAGTGGACGGTCGATGGGCGTCGCGCACAGGCTACCTCTGATCAATGCAGGTGTATACAGCAATACCGATAATGATACTTATGCTCGTAATAACAGGCATCGAGCTCGAGGATAGCTCGCACACGTCGCGATATCCAACGTCTGAAGATTTCGAGAAACACCTGTTAATCGTAAAAACGCGGTGGTAAAAAGCGGCGGGAAGTGGTAAAGAGATGGCTCTCCTTTTTCTTTTCTTTTTTTTTTTTTTTTTT